TCAGCAGCAGTTTATTTCAACGTGTGGGAAATATAGGAATGAAAATATTCCGCATAGTGACTCTGATGTAGTCCAGGAAATGTTATGGTGATAAAAGCATTGGTTTATACCATTAGCTGTTGAATCCATTCAATAGGAAACAATGTAAAAGGTTTGTTTCGTTTCAGTCTAAACATGTCATGTTATGCAATTCAAATGTGGCCCAAAAATGTCTTTAGAAGATGTTCACAGTTAATGCATGCAGCATGTTTTGTTTGCAGATGCTACTTAGTTTGATTCCTACTGAAATTGTAAAAAAAAAAAAACTACTTTCTACTTCAAAATTTCACTTTTATTTTAATATGTTACTTGCCGTTTCTTAGTAATTAATTGTTGAATTTACTAGCAGTTTCAAGTCCAAAATTCCACAGCTATTATCATTATTATTAATATTATTATTACAGTGTAATGCAGTTAAATGCATACTGCACATTTTAATTGTGGAAATACTTTTGGGACAACTGTACTTGTAATCTCTGTGGAGTTGTTTGCCATTCTGAATTGAAAAAAAAAAATCTTCATGCGCTCAGATGTCCTTTCTTGATGCCCTTTTTCTGGCCAAAATGTGTTGCTATGGAGATAAAGCTGACATTTGATGCTGCTGCTTTATAAAAAAAAAAAGACCAGAATAGAAGGGGCCGAAAAAATATGAAAAAGCCCTGACAAACGTGCAGCTCTCTAAACCACAAATGTCAAAACATGTCTAAAGGATTTTACTTACAAATAAATACTGTGCCGTATAGTTAGTTTTTTTTTTTCAAAATCTCTCATGCTCATCAAGGCTGCATTTATTTGATCATAAATACAGTAAAACAGTAATATTTGAAATATTACTATATATTTTTTTTCAATTTGAATGTTTTAAAATGTAATTTTTTCCTGTGATTTCAAATCTGAATTTTCTGCATCATTACTCCAGTCTTCAGTGTCAAGTCAAGTCAAGTCACCTTTATTTATATAGCGCTTTTAACAATACAGATTGTGTCAAAGCAACTGAACAGTATTAAATAGGAAAATAGTGTGTCAATAATGCAAAAGGACAATAGTAAACACTAATTTTTCAGTTAAAGGCAGTTCATCATTGAATTCAGTGATGTCATCATCAGTTCAGTTTAAATAGTATCTTTGCAATAATTTGCAATCAAGTCAACGATATCGCTGGAAATGAAGTGTCCCCAACTAAGCAAGCCAGAGGCGACAGCGGCAAGGAACCAAAACTCCATCGGTGACAGAATGGAGAAAAAACCTTGGGAGAAACATGATTTTCATAATCATGATTTGAAACAGAAATCTTTTATAACACTACATTGCTGTCACTTATGGTCAATTTAATGCATTGTTACTGAATAAACATATTGTCTTTAAATCTAAAAAATAAAAATAAAAATCTTACATATATATATATAATGAATGGGATATAAAGGCCTTTGTATATAAATTAGATTATATGCCCCATTTTAACTGCACAAACTACATTATATAAACCATAAACATGACATGTTGACCTTTCCAAGATACTGTTGATACTGTTTCTGTATCTTGATGTGTTGAATGGCAGGTATTCATATCTATGCACTTCACCTCACATCCCCTTTGTCATTCAAGGTTTTACACAATGGTGTCCTGATAAAGCCACAGTGCTCTGTTTATCTTCTGCATTGAGATGACAGAATGTCCCCTGTCCCCTGTCCTCCCGTATCCCATCAGCCCCGCAGCTCGTATCCGGTTCATATGGCAGCACAGGACATGAGGGCCGATCCTAATCACCACACACATCTGATAGGATTGTGTGCATATAAAGACACGAGATCCGTACACTGAAACACTTTCTGTATGAATCAGCTGTCCACAAAAGATAAGCCATAGACCTCAGGGCAGATTATTGTTCAGGCAGGATAGATAATATGACCTTGTACAATACAGTGTGTGATGGAGAAGTCCAGTCAGAGACGTGAATCATCTAAAATGATCTCTGGTAGGTTATACTCATGGGAAGGACAGTGACTCTGACATTCCTTACAGAAAAAAGTGGTTAAACAATATATAATGTTCCCACACCTTTTCCCACAAATAGTTTAAAAGAAACTAAGATAGATAGATAGATAGATAGATGAGGAAGGAAGGAAACAAGGAAGGAAGTCAAGAAGTAAGGAAGTAAAAAAGGAAACAAGGAAACAAGGAAGGAAGGAAGTCAAGAAGTAAGGAAGGTAGGAAGTAAAAAGGGAAGGAAGTCAAGAAGTAAGGAAGGAAGGAAGTAAAAAAGGAAGGAAGGAAACAAGGAAGGAAGGTAGGAAGGAAGGAAGTAAAAAAGGAAGGAAGGAAACAAGGAAGGAAGGTAGGAAGGAAGGAAGTAAAAAAGGAAGGAAGGAAACAAGGAAGGAAGGTAGGAAGGAAGGAAGTAAAAAAGGAAGGAAGGAAACAAGGAAGGAAGGAAGTCAAGAAGTAAGGAAGGTAGGAAGTAAAAAGGGAAGGAAGTCAAGAAGTAAGGAAGGTAGGAAGTAAAAAGGGAAGGAAGTCAAGAAGTAAGGAAGATGATAGATAGATAGATAGATAGATAGATAGAAGCGAAGAAGGAAGTAAAGAAGGAAGGAAGGAAGTCAAGAAGTAAGGAAGGAAGGAAGTAAAAAAGGAAGGAAGGAAACAAGGAAGGAAGGGAGGAAGGAAGGAAGGAAGGAAGGAAGTAAAAAGGAAGGAAGGAAAGAAGTAAGGAAGTGTAGGGAAGGAAGGAAGGAAGTCAAGAAGTAAGAAAGGTAGGAAGTAAAAAAGGAAGGAAGGAAGTCAAGAAGTAAGAAAGGAAGGAAGGAAACAAGGAAGGAAGGGAGGAAGGAAGGAAGTAAAAAAGGAAGGAAGGAAGTCAAGAAGTAAGGAAGGTAGGAAGTAAAAAGGGAAGGAAGTCAAGAAGTAAGGAAGGAAGGAAGGAAGGAAAAAAGGAAGGAAGTAAAAAAGGAAGGAAGGAAACAAGGAAGGAAGGAAGGAAGTCAAGAGGTAAAAAAGGAAGGAAGGAAACAAGGAAGGAAGGAAGGAAGGAAGTCAAGAAGTAAGAAAGGAAGGAAGGAAACAAGGAAGGAAGGGAGGAAGGAAGGAAGGAAGGAAGGAAGTAAAAAGGAAGGAAGGAAAGAAGTAAGGAAGTGTAGGGAAGGAAGGAAGTAAAGAAAGAAAGACATTTTATAGATATTGTACTGATTAATTTAATATATTATGTTATGTAATATAACAGTCAGTAGTCAGTATTTTGTACTTTGTTTGGCAATGATGTGATTGGTCTGGAGCTCAAACCTGAGCTTATGTAAGAAAGACTTCCAGTGGGGTCCGTGTTCAACAATCAGTTGTCTATTAACACAGCATTAATCTCAGCTTGGCACAGACTCATGAAGAGACATGCTCTGTTGGGACGCGCCAAACATTACTCCTCTCATTAATCCTCTCTCTGTCTCTTTCAAAAGTGGCGTGGGTCCTGGTTTACTGTCTGCAGCACCGTGTGTGTCCAGATCTTTGTTGGTGGGGTTCAAACTTCTGAGACCACATTGAAAAGTACTGCTCTCAGAGCTGGACCCCACTGCCACAAAGTCATTTAATATCTCCATGACTACTACACTTTGGGAGCCTAATAAAAGAACAGCTCACTTCCAGTACAAAGAGAGCTGCCTGATAAGAAAGGGTGTAGAATGAAATATAAAGAGAGCGAGAGAGAGTTGAGAAAGCATCTGCTGTGGGTGGTGTTGATGACCACCTTCACCCTTTCCTATCCTGCTCACCGTTTATGTCATTCGCATCCTAGTGAAAACACTCGAGATCAATACAAAGCCCAACAGGCACGTGTAACTATAGCATTTCCTGTTATTACTCCAACAATGGCCTCTCTTGAGAATCAGCTGCTCAATGTTGCAAACGTTCTACTTGTACTGGATAATTAAAAGTGATTTTGAGCCTGACCGGGAGAAAGAGAGAGGATTGGGGGTAATGCAAACAAATGCACCCATGTGGGAGTGACAGAGCATGTGAATCAGTGTGATGTAAGTGTGTTGAGAGAGTAGGAGGACAGACCTCCAACCGCTGCTCATTCACAGCAGGAGACTGTGCTCTCAATCTGTGCAATTAAACACATACATTACAAACAACCACAGGGCCCATGCACACGTGATTCTTAAACATATTAAACACTGGTATGTTTTTCTAAATCTAAAGTTTTAATTACTAAATAACCTTAGTTATTAATATGTTCTATATAGTATGAATGTAACCTGGACGTACTATAGTAGTCAACATTTGAAGTGGATCAAAACCGTTCATCAAAGTTGTCCTAAGACAAGAACGCATGTTGGGTTTAGGTTTAAAGGGTTAGTTCATCCAAAAATGAAAATGCTGTCATTAATTACTCACCCTCATGTCGTTTCAAACCCGTAAGACCTTCGTTCATCTTCAGAACACAAATTAAGATATTTTTGATGAAATCTGAGAGCTCTCTGACCCTCCCATAGACAGCAAGGATCCTAACACGATCAAGGCTCAGAAACGTAGCAAAGAGATCGTTAAAATTAATACTGTTTGTGTGTACTATTTAACAAGGCATAAAAGTTAAAGATTAAGATTTTAAAATTTAACAGTTAAGATTTAAATTATATTTTGAGCACTGAACTAGGATATGATTTCAGAAATCTGGTCACCCTAACATATTTTCTTGAAAGATAAAGCCTTATTGAAACTATGTCATGTTTCCGGTAGTAAATGTTGGGTTGTGTTTCTCTCTAGTGGTGAGATGCAGCATAACAAGACAAGGACAATAGGCATCGAGTGATTCAACACGAGAACAGATGAATTATTGATAGGCTGCAAATAACCTTGATTCTTGACAGAAAGTTCAAGAACTTTCCGATTTGCTGCCGTTGTATGAAATGAGTGCGATCCTAATTAATGCACATGGAAAATGAGGAAAAATCAAGAGTAGAGAATAAAATTCAAGGCATTATTTATTTCAAAAGTTAGATTCACAGCTCCATCATGTCACCATCAGCGACCCCAGTGACGCATAGCATTAACATTCAAGAAGTTTCAAAATATGATTATGTTACGTAAAACTCGATAGGTCAAGTATACACACATAAAACAAAAAACTGCATTATAGCTCTGTGTCAGTGATGTAGTTTAATTCAATTAAGCAAATATCAGTTTATAACATATTACTTCTTAACCATTCCGCAAATCCTTTTTTGGTTGATAATGTATTAATCACGGCAAAAATGTAAACTACTAGTTTTGAAATGTGTTTGGTAACAAATTGCAGAGGTTCACAACTCCAGTAATTGAAAAACAAGAAACAGCCTCAAACATAGACATAGGTTTTAAAAGGATCTATTGGATAAAGTAGTAAATTTTTAACAGTAACCGTTTCCGAACTCAGCAGTATCCTTGTACAACAATGTTTGATTAGCAAGTCTGACAAAAAAATGCTTAATGTTCAATAAAATGCTGCAGTTTAAGATATACTCTTTTGCTGTGACATTTGGAATCTAGCAAAGCTATATTATTACTAAAATACAATTATTTAAATTGTACATTTGTAAAGGTCACATATTTGTTGCATTACATTTATGCAGATTTTCCATTGATTTTGGGGTGAAATCTAACCCTGACATTTCTTCAAGAGATTCGTCATCAGGAGAAAATTATAATTCTGAAAGCAAGTTTGCCATTTGTTGTTCTGTGCTGAATTGCACTTACACACTGAAAACTACAGCTATAGCAAGACTAGGACATTTTCAGACTTAAACTACAAGTTTTAATTAGAATAGGTCAGATCTTGGTTTTAGTTTTTCCACATGTAGGAGAAACGCTTTTGAATGTGCAATTAAACTGGAATGAAGGACAGACATTCTCCTTCCCGCGATCTACACAAGCTCAAAAGAGGGTCTCTCCAGAAATAAAGCCACAGCACAGGTAGTTCTCAGCCTGGGACTCAGGGCTTGAGTTTGAGCCAGGGGTGAACTATAGTGAGGATGGACAGGACGGAGGACGTGAGGCCGCAGGCCCCCACAAAGCCCGAGCCCGTGGGGTACAGGCCCAGCCGGTCCAGCGGGATGAAGACGTCACACAGGTTCTTCAGCAGGTCCAGGAGCAGCGGAGGGTTGCTGCGCAGCACCGTGATCAGGAGCTGGAACTGCTTGATGAGTCCGGCTGACAGCGCCGAGGAGGGCGACGGGGTCAGAGGGAGCTCTCCTCCGTTCTCTGGGCTCAGCGTGAGGGGAGACGGACTGCAGTTAAAGCTTTTAGCTGCACTGCTGCGGGACTCTCTCTCCATCAGCAGACGGGTTTCATACGCGTCTCGCGTTAGATTGAGGATGAGCGCGAACAAGTAGAATCTGTTAGCAGGAAGCGAGAAAAAGTTGGGTTATTAGATTGCGAATTTCATGCGGTGTTCAAAATATTCAATTAAATGCAATCATCTCCATTACATTAACATTAAAATGCAAAAGAAATAAAAAATCCAGGAACATTGCTGATGGCTAATGCAAATTCAATCACGGATTTGAACCAAATTTTCACCTGCAAAATCAATTAAACAGAAAAATAAACAAAATATATGTAAACATATACATAAACTACCGGTCAAAAGTTTGGGATCAGGAAGACTTGTAATGTTTTTTAAAGAAGTCTCTTCTGCTCATCAAGGCTGCATTTATTCATCACTAGCCATATAGAAATACAATTTAAATGAAATTATGTCAACTACGTACTTTGCAAATATACAAACTTGTTCAGAAGGTGTTAAAAATTGTGTCTGCCACCATTTTGTGTGACTTTAGAAAGTTAGTTGCAGATAATATGCAAATCTTCCCATTAAAACTGTTGTAATAAACTAGTGTCAGCTACTGTCATGCATGATATTTACCTATATTTAGAGAAAATTAAGTATTGTTTAACTGCTGTATGCATATGTTGCCATTCTGTTAGACTGTGTCTCTGAGGGTTAACTAGGCCTTTGTATTTCGCTACAAAACTTGTGTTGGGCTTTCTCTAATGAAAATGTGTGACTGAGCTGAATTTCCTTCAGTTGCAATTCAGTATTCCTCTCCTGCCATTCCAATTCAGCATCCTGTTAATCCACAGTGTAACTTATTATCAAGAGGAAACCAATGGTGCCCAACCCTGATTCTTCCGACCACTGACTTCAGCAGAAGATCTTAAACGTAGGCCCTACATTTTCTGGTCAGGCTCATGTGAGCTTCCAGCTGTCTGATGGTGTTTAGCAGCTCTGCTCTCGCTCCTCCTCTCTGCAGTGTGTATCCCAGCAGTGTGCAGGCGTACTGGGCAGCCCTGTTCAATCACAATTACAGAAAATCAGCACTGCACCAACAAGTATTACAACACTTACACTACCAGTCAAAAGGTTTTGAACAGTAAGATTTTTTATGTTTTTTAAGTATTCTCTTCTGCTCACCAAACCTGCATTTCTTTGATCCAAAATACAGCAAAAACAGAAATTTTTTTAAAATAGTTTTACTATTTAAATAACAGTTTTCTATTTGAATATATTTTAAAACGTAATTTATTCCTGTGATTTCAAAGCTGAATTTTTAGCATGATTACTCCAGTCACATGATCCTTCAGAAATCATTCTGATTTGCTGCTCAAAAAACATTTATTATTATTATTATTATTATTATTGTTGAAAACAGCTGAGTAGAATTTTTCAGGTTTTCTTTGATGA